ACAGCACACAACAGGATATAGTCAAAGACTGTGGGCATGATAAAGGGATGGTCAGAGATTGTGGATATAATACAGAAGATGGTCAGAGGTATGATAAAGAAGATGGTCAGAGTGCAAACATGATACAAGAGATGATCAGAGAATATGAACATGCTGTAGGAGTTGTTGGAGACTGGGGACATGCTTCAGAAGACAGTTATATACTGGATACATGAGACTGCTAAAAATCACTGCAAAAACAGGGCAATATTGCCAAAGAGCCACATGCACCTCCCTGGGTCGCAGGTTGGGCACCAAGGATCTAGATAATCACAGTGAGATATGCCATGAGCATATCATAAACTCTGACATTAAAACATTCCAGTTTACAGCATTTCTTATATGATCCAGGCTAAAAATAATTAAATCTATCAGGGAGACATTTCTCAGGTCAACAGCCCAATCATAGCGCTGTAAACCTTTATTAGCAAAGAGATTATTGCATATCATAAAGAGTTTAGCAAGCAGTGGAATGGAGGCTATATTCCTGACTGTTTATTTTTTTACTGCAGAATCAAAAATCCTGACATATTTCATAAATCCTAATCTGTTTAAATTAAACAGCATCCATTAGACTGCAAAAAATAGGATTACCATCATTTAAAGACTTAATACCTCTATATTGCAAGGTGCAGGAGGCAAATTAGACACATTCTATCTCCTAGGTGGTATAGACATTTTATGTACGCTGCTAAAAAAATATTAAAGGAACACGTTTTATTCAGAGTATAGCATCAAGTCAATTAAACTCCTAGGATATTGATCTGGTCAGTTAAATAGCAGAGGGGGTTGTTAATCAGCTTCAGCTGCTTTGCTGTTAATGAAATTAACAAGTGCACTAGATGGGGACCAATGAGACGATCCCAAAAACAGGAATGGTTTTACAGGTGTAGGCCACTGAATTGTTTTCCCTACTCATCTATTCTGACTGTTTTTCAACAGTTTTGCATTTGGCTAGGGTCAGTGTCACTACTGGTAGCATGAGGCGATACCTGGACCCTACAGAGGTTGCACAGGCAGTTCAACTCCTCCATAATCGCACATCAATACGTGCCATTGCCAGAAAGTTTGCTGAGTCTCCCAGCACAGTCTCAAGAGCATGCAGGAGATTCAAATAGTTACTCTAGGAGAGCTGGACAATGTTGTAGAAGGTCCTCAGCCCATCAGCAGGATTGGTATCTGCTCCTTTGTGCAAGGAGGAACAGGATAAGCACTGCCAGAGCCCTACAAATTTCCTCCAGCAGACCACTGGTGTGAATGTCTCTGACCAAACAATCAGAAACAGACTTCATGAGGGTGGGCTGAGGGCCCGATGTCCTCGAATGCTCACTGCTTGGCACCATAGAGCTCGATTGGCATTTGCATTTTCATTAAACACCAGAACTGGCAGGTCCACCACTGGCATCCTGTGCTTTTCACAGATGAGAGCAGGTTCATGTGAAAGGGTCTGGAGAAGCCGTGGAAAATGTTATGCTGCCTGTAACATCGTTCAGCGTGACCGTTTTGGAGGTGGGTCAGTGATGGTCTGGGGAGTCATATCCATGGAGGCATGCACAGACCTCTACAGGCTAGACAATGGACTCTGACTGCCATTAGGTATTGGGATGAAATCCTTGAACCCATTGTCAGACCCTACGCTGGTGAAGTGGCTCCTGGGTTCCACCTGGTGCATGACAATGCCTGGCCTCATGTGGCGAGAGTATGCAGGCAGTTCCTGTAGGATGAAGGAATTGATACCATTGAATGGCCCCCACACTCGCCTGATCTAAATCCAATAGAATACCTCTGGGATATCATGTTTCGGTCTACCTGAAGCACCTCAGACTGTCCAGGTGCTCAGTGATGCCTTGGTTCAGATCTGGGAGGAAATATCCCAGAGCACCATCCGTTGTCTTATTAGGAGCATGCCCCGACATTGTCAGGCATGCATACAAGCACCTGTGGGCAATACAAACTACTGAGTACCATTTTGAATTGCTGCAATGAAATTTCAGCAAAATGGACTAGCCTGCTGCATAATTTTTTCACTTTGATCTTCGGGGGTGTCTTCAAATTCAGTCCTCTGTAGGTAGATCATTTCCATTTCTGTCAAACAATGGGGCATCCTTACATTCCTAATACATTACCCAGTTCATATCACTATAGATATCCAGCAAGATATATTTTTCCCCATTGAGATCTGATGTGTTTTCAAAGTGTTCCTTTAATTTTATTGAGCAGTGTATATACAGTACATTTTAGTCTTTATCAAATAATACTTTCATGCTGCCTAATATAATATATGAGTTATTAGACTTATTATTTCTCATGATTATTATTAGACTCATTATTTCAGCAAATACCCTACTCAGGGGCCATACAACACTGTTGCAACTACAACTTAAGAACACTCATTTTACCATTAAAACTAGGCCTAAGAGTTACATTGAACCAGACTCTACTGGCACCAAAACCAAGAAACTTGTTAAGTACATTCACTTTTATTCCTATTAACTTGACAGTTGCTATTATGGTCTTTAAAAAAAAAATATTTTTTTTCTGTAAATATTTAGCTTGAACTGTTTTTTTTTTTGGTCGTTTTAAATGAAAATCATTAAAGTGATTGTAAAGGTACTTCTTTATATTAAAATAACACATGTGTTATACTTACCTGCTCTGTACAATTGAATTGTACAGAGTGGCCTGAAGCTCCTCCTCTGGGGTCCCCACCAGTGCTCCAGGCTCCACCTCTTCTGGGTGTGTCCCCATAGGCAAGCCGCTTGCTATAGGGGCACACCTGTGGGCTCGATCCTGAGATGGGCTATGTGTGTCTATTGACACACACACAGCTCAGTCATCACCGGATTTGATTGACAGCAGCAGAAGCAAACAGGAGCTGTCTGTGATAGAAGAGATAGAAGAGCAGCATTGCTGCAGATGGGCACAGAACTTGATTGAGATCAAACTCAGGTAAATATTTAAGGAAGGTCTGGGGGGAGCTGACATTGGAAGGCTTTTTCAGAGAATACATCAGGGTAAATATCAATTTGCCTTTAGAACCACTTTAAACTTTATCTCTAATGCCCTAAACCAGAACTTAAAGAATCTCTGCCTTTTTGAATAGTGCTAATATATTTAAAATTCTGTCATTTTCATGTTTGGAGTGAGGCAGAGGCAGCACAGTGAGAAAGTGTACAACAGCAATTTCTTAAAAGTCAGAACTGTTACAGCAAATACTGTTGTGTGAGCATTGCCTGTGCCATCGTCACATCTTGGTGGAAACAACAGGATAGTGACTCTGTGTTTGCCACACTTGCCCCTTCGACCACCAATGCCAATTTATTAGCCTGCTCACATGCCTTTCCTTATAGGTCATAACACCTTGAGAATATAGCCACTCATATTTTGTGTATTTACTAGTTCTTGCAGTAAAGAGGCTATTACTGAAAAGCCTGTTAAACTGTATAGTGTCCCATCCTTTGTGTAATGCAGTCATAGCAGCTTCTGTCCTCCTAGCACATCTATACTGCAACCTATAGTTATTCTTGTTCAATCTGCACACAGATTGATTCATTCCAGTGGAATAAAAGCACATCCAATGAATCGATAAGAGCATAATAAATAAAAGTGCTATCAAAGCAATTTAAAACCACAAACTGTTCTTCATGCTTTCAATTTTTATCTCCACTCCATTTGGCTTTGTCTAGAATTCAGCACATTCCACCCGAAGCTGTAGACTATTCATCCAGAGAAACTATGTATATTTCATCACTAATCTCTGCCGTCACATTCCATTTGTCAGGGACTCCTCTCCAGGGTTTCCATTTCCAACATCCGTATCTTTAAGTCCCTCAAAAAAACTATTTTAAGCCAAGTTTCCACCCACCATCTATAGACTATCTATCCTCTCCCAATTCTCATTTTTTACTGTACCGCATTAAGTTGCCATTAAAATACACAACAATGATAGGTTATTTTTGTAGCTTTATACACCAATAATATTAAAAGTAGATTTTTTAGGCTAAAAGGTCGAAATAATACTTTTTTACTGGTGAACAATTTCAAGATTTCCTCAACTTGGAGTACCACTGATGGGATATTTCCAAAGCTTCCTATGTTCTGCAAAAAAGAAGCACATCTTAATGAGACAGTATGATGCTTTTGTTCATAATTGTTATATTTGTTATAGTCAGGACCCAAAAATATAACACTTTTCACATGGCCAGTTAAAAGCAGCCACTGGATTTCAGCAACAAGAATCAGTGGATGACTGGAGCATGTGATTAGCAGTGACCACATTACCTATTTAAACTAATGGCAAGCTGACAGACATCTGAGCCTGCATGCAGCTGGCCTTGTCCAGGCTTGAACATCCATCAATAACCACAGCTATCAATTCTGTGTGAGGCTGCATGCAAACAGCAGCCCATTTACACTAATGGCGGGATGACAGCAGCCACTGCTAATTGCGTGCCCCAGTCAGTCCTGCCACAAAAATCTGCTGATTCTTGCTGCTGAAATCCAGCAGCCACTTGTAACCAGCCATGTGAATGTGGCCTAAATATCTTTTTTTCATTTTTTTTGTAATATCATGGTGTGACACGACAAGTTGGGGGTTTTGTAGTTCATTGGTAGTACAAAACGATGAGTTTACAGTACTTGTCAAAACTGTCTTTTCAGGGATTTTCTGCCCACTTTTATTTACCGTATTTTTTGCTCCATAAGATGCACCTGACCATAAGACACACCTAGATTTTAGAGAAGGAAAACCAGAAAATAAATATTCTGAACCAATGGACTGCAGACATAGCACAGAAAATGACCAGAGACTGCGGACATGGTACAGGAGATGACCAGAGGCTGCGTACATAGTACAGTAGATGACCAGAGACTGCAGACATGGTGCAGGAGATGACCAGAGACTGCGAACATGGTACAGTAGATGACCAGAGACTGCGGACATGGTACAGGAGATGACCAGAGACTGCGAACATGGTACAGGAGATGACCAGAGGCTGCGGACATGGTACAGGAGATGACCAGATGCTGCAGACATAGTACAGGAAATGACCAGAGACTGCGGACATGGTACAGGAGATGACCAGAGGCTGCGTACATAGTACAGTAGATGACCAGAGACTGCGGACATGGTACAGGAGATGACTAGAGACTGCGAACATGGTACAGTAGATGACCAGAGACTGCGGACATGGTACAGGAGATGACCAGAGACTGCGAACATGGTACAGGAGATGACCAGAGGCTGCGGACATGGTACAGGAGATGACCAGAGGCTGAGGACACAGTACAGGAGATGACCAGAGACTGCGGACATAGTACAGGAGATGACCAGAGACTGCGAACATGGTACAGGAGATGACCAGAGGCTGCGGACATGGTACAGGGGATGACCAGAGACTGTGGACACAGTACAGGAGATGACCAGAGACTGCAGACCTTTGGGGAGTGGGAGGGGGGGTACCCGAATTTGACAGGTACTCCACTTCCACGGATTGTCCTGCCCGTAGTCTTGTGGGACATGTGACAGGTCCCAGAAGACTACATGTGACCATTCACAAAGCGCAGCGCTTCTCACACATGCTCAGTGGGCACCCGGCTGTGAAGCCGCAACCTGTCACAGCCAGGTGCCAACACTGAAGATGCTGGCACTGGGGAAAGAAGATGGCCGGTGAAAGAAGGACACCGTTGGACCAAGGAACAGGTAGGACCAAGGAGCAGGTTCTGCACAGTAGAGCCGTGCGACCAGCCCAGTATTCTAACACGGCGGTGGGAATATCAGTCTGGCCACTCCATATTTGCTCCATAAGACGCACAGACATTTTCCCCCATTTTTGGCTTCGCCCTGCCACAATGCAAAAATTAGATATTGCATATTAGTATGCAATAACATTAACATTTTTCTTTCAAGATTGCAGGTAAAGATGTAAGCTCCTTTCATGTTTCATTAATGTAAAGCCTTCTTACAGAACTGTAAACAAGTGAACTCAATGCAGTACTGACTTATTCCAGCATGTCAAGCCTTACCAGAGGCCAAATTTTCAAGTGGATAAAACCTCAGCCTCTAAGAAACCACTGTTTACTGTGCTCACACTGCTCAAGGAATCCTTTGTCATGTACTGAATAACTAGGTTTAGAAGATTACAAATAGATAGTGAAAAAAACGATATAAAACTACCCTTTTTTAAAAAAATACACAATAAAATTCTCTCAAGATATAATTTTACACAAGCCTTGTTATTTGTTTGCCTTTAAATAATCTTGTCCCTTCCTTACTCCATAGCTAGGAGATTCTCTGTTTAGCTAGTCCACCCTCTTTTTAGTGTGTCTTTAATTTTCATTCTGAGCACATGATATAATTGCTGGAGCTGAGCATACGATCAACTTTTTTACCTATCTGATGTTCATCTGTGATGATCTGCACAAGATTTCCTTTAAAACTTTCTACGATCTGCAAGATGGCATTTGGTTTGAGTCACTGTCTACTAATTCTACTTAGACTGTAAGATACAGCTATCTTGCCATATCTGGATCAGTTATGGAGGTCACACTTTCAGTGCTTAGATTGCAGAGGCAGAACAGTGAGAAATCTTAGCTCCAGTCAAATCATTTAGCTCCAGTGAAAATAATCATCCACTATGGAATATACTGTGAGATGTGATACTGACACTAGATATACAGCAGTGTAGGACAGTGCAGTCATTGTCATATCACTTGAACATGCCTGCAAGCTAATCACAGCACATCATCTTACTACCTACAATACCAATAATCCAGAGTTTTTTTAATGGAACTGTGTTATACAAGTCAGTTGTGCATTATACATGTTTACAGTACAAGCTGCCTGCCTTGCTGCATGCCATTCTGTTTTCTGTTTATAATACCAAGTGAGATAGAAAGCGGCCGGTGCTTCAGAAACAGCCTCCAGACAGCGAGCTAAGCAATTGATATACTTCTCAGAGACTGCCATTTAACTCTTTCTTTGTCAGGACAATGTCTCACCACACCATTACATTTTCTGCGGAGGCAGAAAAACAGCAAAAAACAGAATTCTTTTCAGATCAAGAAATAAGCAGACAAGGTAAACACTTGGTTGAACCAACCTGGATGGTTCAACAGAATTATGAGGCCGATAAAGAAGAAATGCTGGGTAATATCACTTACTCATGGCCTAAAACTAGTAATTGCATGTCTTTTCTCGTGCAACCTTTTCATGAGGTACTGCAACTAGAGGGCGCTCTCAAACAATTCATTGCTACCTATCAGGCTCCATGTACACAGGACACTTGGAAAACACTTCTGAAGGATGGAAACGAAATGCTGGAAAACGTAGATTAAAAAAGGTCTGTTTAGATGCGTTTGCATACCATGTTTATGAACGTTTGCGTTTAGAAGCATTTTTTAAAGATAACGTTAGGAGACCTTCCAAAATGCCCAGAATGCACTGAAAAACAGTAAAAAATTAACTATTTCAAACATTTTGAGAGAAATAGAGAGAGCAGAAGCAGAGAGAGCAGTGTGTGTTGAGATTGCCTGTCTTTTCTGGTTGTATTCACTATGGATCCCATCATGAGCATAATGCAGCACGTTCTACCATTTTTTCTTCACGCAAAACTGGAACTGACTGCGTTGGTGTACCGGGTCCATTTCAATACATGGAAAACGCTTTGCATGCATTTCTGATGATGAAAAAAGGCTCTGGACAGCATTTGGATATGGAACGGTTAAAAGACGCTTCTAAACGCAAATGCTTGTAAACGCGGTTAACCACGTTTACAAGCGTTCTGCGTTTGAAACGCTGATAAAATCTACTCCTGAACGCATGTTTGGTGCGTTCAAAAAAAAACGACTGTAAGCTCAACTGCCTGTAAATGACTGTAAATGGCATAGTGTACATGGACACATATGAAAACATTAGGGAAAGTTCAGGGGCTAATGAAAAAAACACAGAAAAGCTCCTGAATGTCAGTTTATCAGCTGCAGTGTACATGAACCCTTAGAGTTATCAAAGACTGCCTTAAAGGATAAGCTCACCTTTTAACAAAAAAATAAATAAATGCACTTTTTTTGCAGGTAAAAAAATGTGCATTTATTATTTTTTTGTTTCTGGAGCCTGTAAAGCATTGCACCAGTGATCAGCAGATTGCTGGTGGCATGCAGGTCTCCTGTAGACCTGTCATTGTATCTGTGTGCCTGTACATCTGGTACGGGCAAGCAGATCTTACTGACAGGAAGACTCAATGAATTACCACAGGGCTCCACAGTTCCATGGTAGTTCATTGAGAACTACAAGCCGACAGCCGCAAAGGCTTTCGGAACTTGTAGTGTTCTCATTCACAGAAAACTGTGAATGAGTGATGCGGTTGGGCGGGCGAGCCCCACATGGCCGCATCTATTAAAAATTGTGACAGCTAGCCGAAGGGAGAATATCCCCCTGCTAGCTGTCACAATGGAAATGGGGGGGGGGGGGGGGGGGGGGGATCGGGGGTCGGTCTATTCATAACATGTTACACACTAAATATGGGTTTAACATGTGACATGTTACAAATGCTGAACCTATCCTTTAAATATACTAATTTGTTAAAGTGGTACAACACTGAAGAGTCACAGGAAGAATTAAAAATATTTGATGAGCTTTATCTGGAGATAGACAGTTTAGTTCTACAAATAAAGACAAAAAAGGTAGAAGTGAGACTCACACAACTACACAAGTCTAAATCTCATAGTTCTGCATTTACGAGGCACTCCTCAAGATCTTCCAAATCTCCACAATAGAGATCTTTCAATGTCAGTCAGCAACTTATTAAAATCCTTGCTGCTGCTTAAGCTTCAAAAATTCAGGCAGCCTTTGCCCAAAATAAAGCAGAGATGGGAGCAGAAGATGCCTGCAAGAAAGCAGAGATGAATGCAGAGATGGAAGCAGAGGCTTCACACAGGAAAGCAGAGATGGATGCAGAAGCTGCATGCAAGAAAGTAGAGAAGGATGTTTTGGAGAAACAATGTGAGCATGCCAACTCCATGGCAAGGTTAAAGGTTTTAGAGCAGGCTGCGAATGTGAAGTACATAAACGCAGCAGACACTGAATTGCATCATATTCCTCACATGCTCTTCCAAAATTTCAGCTATCAGTTACAGCATCTGTATCCCTCAACCAAGGTCAGTATGTTACACCAACATAACTCAACATAACTCATACACAAGACAATCTGTCTACTCATCCCCCAGTACACCAGGTTTTTGCATTTCAGCAAACTGTTGATGTCAGTATGCAGATAATAGACAATACACCTTACCATGGGGCTAGTCAATTACTTTCTGCCAAATATACTGCTCCACTGCTGAAACTCAATATAGCAATCAGCTCTAAGCCAGTGTCAGGCATGAACACCTTTGCACCACACTAACTCCCAAGGCCACTCTATCTCAGCAGACAAGTCAATGTAACTAACTTTGTTCTACTTGCAGCTGAGCATCCAAATTCAAAAACTCAGACATGCCACAGTCCTCTAAATACATGCATCACAAAGAGCTCACCAAGACTGGTCTCATGAAGTTTGATGACAAACCAGAAAACAACAGAGGCTGGAAATCCACCTATAAAGCCACAATCAGTGATCTAGCTATCACAACTACAGATCTGCTTATAAGGTAGCTAGGTCCTCAGTCTGCTGAATGCATCAAAAGCCTCAAAGCTGTTCACATTAACAACCCTGCTGCAGGTCCTAATGCTTCTTGGAACAGACTTGAGTGTAGCTTTGGGAGCCCAGAAGCCATTGATGATGCTTTATTTAAAAAGCTGCAAAGCTTCCCAAAAATATCTAGCAGAGAATTCAAGAGCTCAGTGACCTTTTTTTTTGGAGCTTCAGTTCATTAAAGTTGATACCCACCTTCTCAGGTTCAGTTACATAAATACTGCTTATGGGGTTAACCCAATAGTCTTCAAGTTACCTTATGGTATACAAGAAAAAAGGGCATCACTTGGAACAAAGTACAAGAAAGAAAATAAAGTTTCCTGTCCCTCCTTTTCCTACTTTTGTGAGTATATTAGGAGAATTGAAGATACTAAGAATGACCGAAGTTTCTCCTTTGGGGAATTCAATCCTTTTAGTCCACCTTCTCCAAGGTCTGCAAGAATACGCATTTCACAGCCACCGGAGAGAGGGGGCCTTTGTGAAAAGGACTGATATTCTGAACCTACTACAGTCCTTGAGAAGACATATCAGAACAAGACAATGGAGAACTCAAAGTGCCAATGTCCCATACATAAACCACACCCATTTAGAAAGTGTATCAGCTTCAGAAAGAAACCCTTTTAACCATTTCTTGTCCGCCCTATAGCAGAAGTACTGGGGGTTTTCTTCAAATGTGCTTCCACAGAACATCATGCTAAAGACTGTAGGGCTACTATTAGGTGCATAGAATGTGACAGTGATGGGGCTGACCCTTTGGAAACTCGGTCACTGCCCAAGGGCCCAGGGTCAGTAGGGGGCCCCATGAGATGCCCCTAGTACCCTTTTCATAGGCTTTTTTTGAGTTCGAGCAAGGACACAGGGGCTCCATGATCCCCTATTGCCTGGGGGCCCCATGAGTTGTCAGTCTGCCCCTGGTCACATGAAAGCACTTCATCCATGTCAAGACAATTACACACTTTCTACAGGTAATCCTCCTGAGGCAAAGTACAGTGGGGAGAGCACAGCCTCATATACATCGTTACATAGTTGGTAGGGTTGAATAAAGACACTAGTCCATCCAGTTCAACCTGTGTGGAAGTGTGTGTTCGTGTCAAATACTATTTCCTATATCCCTGTATATTGTGTTTGTTA